AAAACATGCAACAAACATAAAATCTTGTCTAATAGTAGTTAGATATAACAAAAAACCAATCATGCCTCTTAAAGTCTTTTGATCTACAGATTTACCATTTAAAGCAACATTCATTTGAAATCCAATGGCCATTGGTGTCTTCATCGAAGAACAATCAGACATGATAAATTTCTTTATAATATCCTTAACATAATAAGCTTGATTAATGAATATTTCTTCAGGAGATTGTTTCACTTGGAGACCAAGAAAGAAGTTCAGCTCTCCCATCATACTCATTTCAGTCTTAGTCTGCATTATATTTGAGTAGAACCAAAACTTATATCATTCACATAAATTTGTATCAATATTAAATCCTCACCTTGCATCTTCAGAAAAGGAGTTATATCAACCGTACCTTTCTTGAAGCCAGACTTTAAGAGAAAGTGAGTTATAGTATCACACCATGCTCTTGGAGCATGTTTAAGTACATACAAAGCTTTGTCCAAAACATATACATGAACTAGATACTTAGGATTCTCGAAGCCCTCGGTTGTCTAACATTTAACTCCTCATGTAGCACACTATTAAGAAAATCATATTTCACATCCATTTGGTACACTTTGAAATTCTTGTGTGCTGCATATACAATAAAGATTCTAATGGTTTCAATTTTAGCAACTGGAGAAAAGGATTCATCATAGTCGATGTCTTCTTGTTGACAATAACCTTTAGCTACCAATCTAGCCTTGTTTCTGACTACGATTCCATCTTCATTTTTCTTATTTCTTAAGACCCACTTTGTTTTGGTATTTGATTTACCTTTTGGTCTTGGAACCAGCTGTTGGGTTACGAGATCTCAAGCACAGCAGAAAATAAAACTGTAACCCTCCAAGGATCAATACGAACCGGAATAAATCGGGTGTTTCGAAATTATACCTCACAGTTAGCGAGACTTTGAATCACAACAACAAACAAAGCTTGATGCCTCCACGGTATCCATGCGAACRATCCGAATCCTTTGCCTTCTCGTGATGCTAGTCACGGTTTCAAAACTTAGAAATAAAAGAGAGTATATTGTTGTAGGTGGTTTTAGGAGAGAAAATTGCAAGACCACGAAACTCCCTTGCATAAAAAAATGTCATACATTTTATATGGACATGGGATGTATGGCCTAACCATCACCATACCTCCACCATGCCTCCACCATGCTTGAGTGTAAGACCTTCCATGCACCATCACTCTTTTACAAAGCCATACCTAGTCATTTTTATTTATGTCCAACATAAATAATATCTGATTTTATTTAATCAGATTAAATCGATACAAATCAGATATGATAATTAAA